CTATCCAGAAATCAATTAACATATTGCTAGAAATCAATCATCTGGATCCAACTTTTAGAAATTTCCCCCTCCTTGCGCACCATTATAGAGGTGAATTCCATTATTTTGAGTAACTGATTTCCGATTTGGTATTTAAATCCAGCATCATCTGTGAAAATTTACCCTTCATTGCCATCCACTGAGATGAGGTGTATCTATCACTCATCAACTTAATTCCTCACTTTCTTACGAGTTTTTTTGCATTTCTTAGCGCCAAAAAACAAAAATGGAAGTACCCATCGCTGCAACCATTGATACTGCTGCCATGAACAATAGTAATAATAAAGCATACGAATGTTTAATATTAGCCTTACAGTTAGTGTAGAGATTACTGGAGTTTTTACTGAATTTCCAACCTTTTGGCATGCAAACTTTGTGAGATAGCAAATCGCAAGAAGTGTCAGTAAAGCACTTCAAAATGCAAAGAAATCCGAAAACATTGATGAACACATTCAAATTATTCAGGACATTGAAAGTTGATAGTGGTATTGCCAAATTGTCTTCTTTTTCGCGAATTGTATGACAAATTTTTGTTTTCATCAAAAAAGTCAATGATTATTAATATTACTGGGATTATCAAGACCGTCTGGGCAATTAGTGTGACAGCCTGATATTAGTGATTTACCTGGAATGCTTCCGCAGGCCCAGCGTAACTGCACCAAGTCTTTCAAGCCAGAAATAGCGCAACTACGACAAACCTTTCTACCATGCAGTACATATCTCCAGTTAGTTTCTTCCAGTTTGCAAAATTTCCTCAAAAACCCTAGCTATACCACGAAGCAACATTCACTTCAAGAAAAACCAAGAACTTTTTGCTTGTTAAATACACGATCATTTTGAAACTTCACGACAAGCGTCCAGAAATACCGAAAAAAGATTGATAATGGATCAAAATACGCTAATTTGAGAAGTCAAAAGCACCAGAACAAACAAGCTAAGCTACCGCAAACACTCGCTGGATGAAGCCAAAGAGTCTTTTAAAGCTTGCTGGACTGAGAATCGTTTGTTGGATGTATCAAGACGGGAATGCATGGGGTTTCAGATAATTGACAAAACATTGCATTTTGCGAACGTTTCTATTTTAAACCATTCATGACTTCCCCAATTATTCCTATTTTTATTTAGTGTGCATCCGATTGTATCCTGAGCTGCTTGTCCTAATTTTAACAGTAAACAAAGACAATTAATGTCACAGCAAAATGGTTATTTGCGCAAGTAAGCAGCCTGTCACCAACAACAACACCATTCCTCATCACATCAAATCTGACAGGAAATGAAAAATCAGGAATTTAGAAACGCAAGCGAGAATGAAACCAATTCCTGGAACTAATGCTGGGTAGAGCAGGCGACTACATAGGAGGCACTGGAAGAAGTAACGTAGGAAAGGCTGAGAGCAAATAGATCAAGGTGAAATGGTATCTGGTCTTTGAGCTTAATGGTTGGATCGTATCTTAATAATATCAAAAATTTTACAATAGAAAGCGCAAAACTTAATTTAGGGAAAAAACCAAAATCATCTGAAAAAGCGGGAAAAAAATTTTTTTGAATCAAAAATGCTTAGGCTTCGATCAAAATCAAAAAATAGACACAATTTTGCTAAGATATCATTGTTTGGATCGCCCTTTTTTCCGAATCATACATGTGGGAGAAAGGAAAGAGGAATGATGGCGAAGCTGGGTTTATCGTCAACAGGAAATGGTCTTTTGACATTTTATCAACAACAATAACACACATAACAATTAGAGAGGGAGAGAGAGACAGAGAGCTCAATAAGTTAATAATGATAATTCACCCATAAAGCACGTTTATGTCACGAAAAATTTTTAACAGTGCATGGAGTGCGGGAAAAGAAGAGGGGAAAGTGAAGTCACGGGTTACTGCTGGAAAGCAATCAAAAACAATAAAGCAAACAAGATGCTGGCATGCAAATTCCTAGCAGCTCGAGCACGCATCGTTTGGATACCTGTGCTCTTCTCGCTTGATAACGCCGTTGGCCAACAGTCTGGACACGCATCCTGTAATGATCGTGACTGCTTCGCAACATAGTTCGTCTTCACCTGAAACACGAATTTTTAGTATGGTATAGTTTCGCGGAGAAAAGCTCCTGATGTTTTTGGGATGTAGCCATGCATCAGGCACAAACAAACTAGAATTTCCTGCTCCAGGCTACGGAAATTTTTTTGGCTAAATTTTTGGCTAATTTTTTGACAGTTTCAGTTTGACTAAATCCGATTCTACCCGTACGCATAATTCGGTCTGTGTTTACAGCTAAGGGATGAAACACAGACTGCATCGTAAAATGTCTTATACATGACACTTAAGTCCAATCCTTTTATTCTACTATTGATCACGTATCCACAGTCTATTAACTGTTTTAGAATTTTAGATGTATTAGACTATATAGCACAGGAATATGCAGAACACATATTACAGATTTTTTTCAGTAATTATAGAATATTACTTTTGTAAATCTTGTATTTTACCTAATAATACCATGCAGTTGAATATTTTTACATGCATAATAGTGCAGTAATGGTTTAATTAGAATCAGTATATAGTCCAAGAAATTTTGATAACATATTGATGGTTTACTGGAAATACGCAAACACAAATGTGATTCGAACTATATGTGTACTTTGTCTCAATTTGCCTTCTCCTGTCCCGTCATCTTTATCACTCACGTACGTGATCTCAAAAATCGGCAACATATTCATTTCCTCCCTCGTCCTTCTAATATGAAGCAAATACATATACTTAGATTAGCTATAATTCAGAGTTTAGTCAACCATCTATGCAGCTAGTAACTATTTCAATTGCTTTGACCAATGCTGCATTGCCAGACGGTTATTCTGATGGCGATCCTTACATTCGTTTTCAATTGTCCAGCAAACAAATGAACTGCTCCGCACTTATTAAATTGGAATTATTAAACAGCGATGCATACCAGAGGGCAGGTTCAGATATGCGTTTTTGTTCTGAGCAGTTCTATGTGCCGTGTAGAGATTTAGTTACACCCAGGAAAGTCGGTTAAGATAATTTTTTTAACCAATTCCCTACATGAGAAAGCAGCAGGATTCTGAATTCACAGCTTGTTTAGTTTTGTTACATTAGGGTCAGCCCGAATTTAGATGTACGGTCAATGGTCAAAAAGTAGTACTGCTTTACACTGTTAGGACTGCTTAAAAGCTGATTTCAAAACCCATCAGGTAAATAAATCATCAGTTTTGGATCCGTCCGTTACAGCAGTTTAAAAGGAAGAAAGAAATGACAGCTGAAAGAGTAAGAATTGAGTAAAAGGCCGACTAAAGCGTACTTGCTGTTCGGGATCATAGTAGTCGAAAAGGACAAGCTGAGCTGGTTTCTGCTCCGACACTTGATAAACCATATCACTGTACAGTGATAAGCAGACCGGTGTTGAACCAATCTAAAATCAGAGGGATCTGTTCTCAGTTTTTTCTCCCCTTTTCTCAAATTTTCCTAGTTAGTACCAGACTCAACCCCTTGCCATATTTCCTTACCACAGAATAAAGAAGCATTTTAACTTTGGTCACTGACAACTTCGACTCAATTGAGCTGTTTATGGGGTCTGGTGGGAAACAGTAAAAAGATCTTTTGATTTTCAAAAGCTCTTGAGTCTGGACATTGTGATTTGACATTAAAATCGCCAAATCAAAGTCATAACCTCCCTTAGAGTTTACAGTTCACTAGCCGTATAAGACGGTGAAGCACTCGAAATTAGCCAAAAGGGTGGGTAGTGATTGTCAGCAGTGATCACCTGCTCGTATTGGACGTCGCCATCTTAGGCTATGACAAGATACTTTATCAACTAGAACAGCCAACAAGTACTCGCACCAAATATAGATGAATAGCAACGCGCACCAGACTACCCGGTGCGGTCATGCGTTTTGTGCAATTCAGTCCATCGAACGATTGCCTATTAATGATTTTCACCGCTTTGCACTTTAATCTATGCAAAAATAGTTCCAACATTGGAAAATAGTTAAAAATTTCACGCACCAGCGCATGAAAGCTGAATTCGAAACCTTGAAGG